AACAGGAGCGAACAAATTACCGAACATGTTTGTCGATGGTTGCCTATTCATTTCTAAAACCATATTTTTTTTGCAAGGCATACATTTCGCATATGGTTGCATAGTTGGAAGATCTATATATGGTCATTGATTTATCTTCATCATTGAAACACCCAAGACACAGGCATGCAGGAACGGGAAAACCCTGCACACATCTTCTACCTTCACCTCATTCTTCACCAGTTGGAGGTGGCCAAGAACTACTTCAAATTCTTAATCCCAGACGCTCCATGGGACTGCCATATATGCCGCCCCATTGGCCCCCCCTGGCACCACTCCAACTGATCGGCATATATGGCAGTCCCATTAGTCGTGTCTGGGAATTCATATCTGATTAAGGACGATATACTGTACAGTCCTCGAGGAAAACACCACCCCTCCAAAAAGCCGTCCGCGGGGTGACCGCGGTGTGACCGCGGTGACCGCAGGCGATCCAGAGCATTTTGAGACGTGAGGGCTATCCCAAGCCCTACGAGGCCCTCCGGGACTTAACGAGGCGCGGAGAGGGGAGTGGAACGGGAGAAGGGAGAAAAAGGAACGTTCAGCACGGCTGGGGGGAGCCATAGATGGGCATAATTAGGGTCAATCCAATGGTGTCGCAAGAAGAACTTGATTGTTTTGTGAATCACATCCCTACTGCCTTACATCATCTTACATGTTTCGCAGTTACACTCCCTGAAATTGTCATGGAATCATGGAAGTTTCTCACATGGCCGGATGAGCATGTTCGACAAACAGGTGATTGGCCCAACATACCTATGCCCTGTTTGGCAGGGAGGCTTCTTGAGTCCGCCACAAAAAACTCCTGTGCCATCGCACTCGAGCTGTGTTATGGGGGCGGAACAGGTCCGACTGAGCTCGCGTTCCCGCCTTCGTGCTTCGCACCAGTCGCCAGTGCCGCAGTGTGGATCCGTGCAGCACCGAGCCTCGGAGCAGGGGCCGTGCGGCACCGACGTCGTTTTGCTGCACGGGGAGCACGGCACGTGGAGCGGGGAAGCTCTTCGGACCTCGGCTGAGCGTCGTTCGGCGCCGGCGCCGGCGGCCAGGACCAACGAAGCCATGACCAAGGAGCTGCTTGGCGGTCTGAAGCGGAAGGGGTCTGTTGCTTTGGCTCCACTGAATATCTCAAACCATGGGTCACTTGAGTCGTTTGTGTGAGAGAGAGAGAGACCAACAGAGGTTGAAGGACCCTGTCTAGACAAAGCCAATAAGATATACCCAGGTGCCAGGTCGTGGTGAGGTCTGCGTCGTGTTTCTGCAAGGCACAGGTCTTCCAACAGAGCCTGTAGAAGTTCAGTCATTCAACCTCTACCAGCCAACTGCCAGGGTCACCAATGGTACCATGTTCGACCTGAAGTAGGGCCCATCAACCGTATACCCAGGTTCCTAGCATCCCAGTTCCCCCAGTTCGACGTCCCGCCTGGGTGCCCGGTCGCACGTTGGTCATGCCATGTCCACACGAGCGGACGAGCGGGCAGTCTGCCGTCTGACATGACCGAGTCATGACATGACCGAGGGTGGTTTTTCAAAGGGGTGAATGGAGGCAGGGATTGCGGTTGCCAGTCCCATGGAGTGTTCGGGTCGTGTTTCAGTGTTTGTTTCATTGTGTATGGTGAAATGAACAGATTCCATCATGAAGGAGAAGAACACGCACACTAAGACGACTGGGGGTGATGACAATGATCTCTTGTCTGGTTTGGTGTCTTAAGCCAGGTTCACTAAGTGTATAGGTGCTGCTAATGTCGAAGATGATCTCTTGGATTCATTTGGATTGTCCTCCCACTTCCCTGGTCCGGTGCTCTCTCCAGGTGCGTTCAACCGCACAACTTAAGGCGCATTCATAGCTTCGTGGACACCTTGAAGGTGGATGACAAGATCAAAGCCGAGCTGAAGAAAGTCACACCTTACAACTATGTGGGCTACAGCTGAGGCTTCCACCCCCCCGAACCTTGCCGTTTTGGCACTTGTCAGCCAACACCTACACACAAAACCGAGGGTAAAGCCGTAGAGCTAAGCAGCAAATGGCACTCCAAACAAGTCTTGACACTTTTATTCAGAAGATGCTTGACTGCAGACAAGCTACATGACTAGACAAGATATGATAAGTATAGATAAGTGATCAACCATTTTCAGACAACTGGCCTTGTTCGGTCGACACCACATATATCTCACAATCAGAGGATTATGAACACATCCTGTGCTGCTTTTCAGAATTGTCCAACTGGATCGCCATAGATGTCCGGCGCCATGTGGTCATCCAAATACACATGAACACTTGAAATCCAAGCCAGCCAACTTCCAAGCCGATCAGCCTGTAGCTTGCGTAGCTATGCGTAGCTCGGGTTGTGGGCTTTCCACTCTTGGCACCGGCGAGTTGTGTTTTTGGGCGGTGCGCGTTTGGCTATGTTTGGGTCTTGCCAGGCAGCATAAGAACCTGACAATGTAAGGAGCTGGTTGAATTCGGTTGAATGGGACGAACCACTATGATGAAACCCTAATAGATCCTTGGACCCTCCTTAGAAGGGGTTGAACCCTCTATAACAAGGGTTTGTACCCTCCAAACCCTCGTTGTTGAGGGTGCGGATCCTTAGGGTATATATACATTATATAGTTTTCTTTTAGGCACATGTCAAGTGTGACTGCTGTGCCGGTCTTGTGTAGAATAGACATACAGCGACATCACGTCTCCCACCTTTGGGCTGTTGTCGAAAAGTCCACAGAAAATGCCTTGCTTTGATCCCAATGGTGTAGCTGTGTAGTCAACAAGGTGGCTCAACTTTTCCTTATACATGTTTCTTTGGGGTAGTATCACAAACTTGGACACCGCAATTTTATGGCTTGGGGTGAGCCACTGTGAGAAGCACGGATGGCATATGAGGCACTATGGCATGATTAATGAGTTGTTTTTTCTTGTTCGGAGCCTTGACAGTTTGAGTTGTTCCCCTTTTTAAAGCAATCCAAAAAGCTGAGAATTGTGGTCACAATCAGGGTAGAAACATATCTGACATTATCTGAGTGTGTCCATGGAAGTTTCTCTTGGTTTACCCAGTTTACCCTGGCATGGGAAGCAGACTGCGGCAGACAACGCCTTTGGGGCCGTATGCCAGACTGCCAGACGACCCATACATAGCCATGCTGCTTATCTCGTGCGGCTCCACCTGATGAGATCACGATGAATTCAATGGACGTCATGCTGCAGAAATAATGATGAACATCCTGCAACACCTAGTGCAGCACTCTATAGAGACTACCAGCACTCGACTTCACAGGTCATCACCTGCAACTTTAAAGTTTGCAAAAACCACCATTTCGGAGACCTGTAGAGTCGGGTGCTGGTAGAGGAATGGAGGATCTCTTTGGTCTTTTTTGGGTTTTGTTTGGATCTTTCTTTCTTCAGCTGTTTCAACGGCACTTTTCTATAGGTCATACCAATCATTGATCAGTTGAGATTCTGGAACGTCTAGAACCAGAGATCTTCGCACCACAGATCTTCGCGCAACAGTCCCTTCAGGTCCGGTCTGACCTAGTAGAGCCTGGTCCTGCATAGCCCGCATGGAGTCGTGTTTTTGTATGTCATCTCCAGACACAAATGTGGTCAGGAACTCCTGACCTGGTTAAGGAGTTTCATGTGTCAGGGTCCACCCTGAGCAAGGAGCACCCTAGGGTAGCCTTCAAAGAGCATTTAAAGCAATGGTTGACCTGGTTTTGTAGTCTAAAATCCTTAGTCAAACAAGGGTTCTATATAGATGTAGAACAAGATGTAGGACACAAACCACTGGCTTAGTGTAAGTCTAGGTGTGCCCCGAAAAAAGAACAATTGGTTTTTGGAGGCCTTTTTTCTGATGTTGTAGACAATGCAAAGATCATGCCCGATGCTGGTGATGAGTGGTTCACCATCGGTGGAGTCTTGCGGTGGCTGCAATTCTGGTCCTATCCACGCGGCTTTTGGGAGAGTTCACGTTCATTGCCAGTGTCACCCAGGATCTTTTGACCAGTTTTAGTGGAACGAAGGATCCAGTTGTTTGCAAACACCGCGCACGTTTTTGGGGAGCTTTGTGACTGGTTGCACGTGAGCTACGCTTGCATGCAAGATGCTTTTGAAGCTTAGACGAGATCATCAAAGCACCTGTCAAACATACAGCATGCTGATGTAAGTCATGAGAAGAGCAGCACTTGCTCAATTGAGCCGTTTTTTTCTATCTATGGATGTTGTTTATTAATTATTGTTTTTTTCTTTTAACGAAGGCAGACGATCGTGTTTCTAGGTTAAAACGGTCAAACGGTTCAACCGTTTAGCTAGCCTCATGGTTGTTGGGTGCACACCGGACTTCGCCCCGATGGTGGTTTTTTCTTTCCATGAGACCGGTCAGTGCAAAGCTCCAGCCAACCGTCAAGTCTTTTGGACCTCTCTCTCCGACCGGAGGTCGGGGGCTCGTCTCTCAGCCGTTCACTTCGCCGGTCTCCGAGCAGCGGTCGGTGGCGGTCGGTGGCGTGAAAAGCATGGCGGGACGAAGGGGCCGGGGAGGCTCGGTGCCTTAACCAGGCGACGGAACGGTGGCGAAGCGGTACAGTATATAGAGCTGGCAGACGAGCTGGGGGGGTGGTGGAGACGAAGGGCTGCGTGTCTCTTTTGTTGACTCAAACTCTTTGAAGTTTGAAGGCATTGGTCGTTCTAATGACTGTGATCGGTTTCAGCCGATTCAGATGTTCTCGGTCTCAATAGATGTTGGTGCCCACAACACTTGCCGGTCCTGCATTGACCTCTTTTCAATAACCACCCTTATTGATCTTTATTTATTGTATGTAAATTTACTGCCATCCAAAACAATTACAGTCTTTGCTGAATTGGCTACTGTCGTGCAAAGTGCCCGTCGCCCAACGTCTAACACAGCCGCGCTCCGTCCGTCGCTCATCGGTGCGCCTCGGCGTGCACCTGACGTCGCCTCCACGCCGCGGCGCAGGCGCCCCTGAACTTGCAGAGCGCCTCGGTGCACTTTGCCCTCCGCGAATCCGACGCCGCCACGAGGCGGCCGCGTCGTGCTGGGTTGCGGCGCGGGAGTGCGCTGCTGGGACGGGATGGGGTCGCCAAGCTGGGCCAAGATGGTGAAACACATTGAAACACAGAGGTTCCACGCAGCCAGAGGTTTCACTTATGTGGCGTCAAACAGTCTATAATCAAAAAAATAGATAGAGGGGTCGAAAGTAGCTTATGATTCATGATGCTGTTTGTTCAATTAGCTTATGTCGCGGGACCCCAGCTAAACACACCTAGGGCGCTAGGTTTGCGGTAGACTTGCGCTAGTGTTTGACTTAGGACATGTTCAGAAGGTCGTCAGGTTTTGAAAAGTAACTGCTAAAAAATGCGCTAGCCGCGCGCTAGCACTGCGCTAGATCCGTGCTGGCGAACATTGCCAGATGCCAGCATGGACCCTTCCAAAGCTGACTTCCAACAAGTCTTTTGTTACAAGCATGGCTTGAAACTCGGAGATCAGCAGAAAACGGTGCAGCGCTAGTGACGCCTCCTACAATTTGGTGCCAATACTTGCTTGGTCCATGGTTCCCTCATTAACCAGCTAGCTGTGTGTGCCAAAAGTAAAGAATATGCAGCGGGCCCCCATGCGACTTTCAGCCCTCTTTGGAAGAAAGCACTTCGACCAGATCCCATGTTTGTTTAAAGACTTGATTTTATTGGAGCAGGCTACGGAGGGGAACATGTGGGGAACCCAATCATTTTTACAAGACCTCAAAGTGATCAGATGAATGTCCCTAGTCCGTTGGTGAGTTTCTTTGTGGCAGGTTCATGAGTTTCGGGTTTTGCGCCAGTCTCCTTTGCACGCTGACTCTTCTTTTACCATGCTTTGTTCCAGCTTTCTTGACTCCCATGTGTTGCAAAACATGGTAGATCTTGGAATGGTAGGTGTTGGATCTATTGACCGATGTGCCACTCAAAACCCTTGCGGAAAATAAATCGCACTAGTGATAGCGCTTTGTTGTAGGGATAACTTTCCGTAGGTTGCATCCTTCATTTGAATACCCCTTCATTGGTCATGTCGAAGGCTGAGGTGCACAAGACGTCTAAGAACCTGAGACCTGATTTTGACGCCACCTCAACCAGTTTTCCAGATCTTGCTTGGTACATGGAACACATTGACATGTTTGCAAGTCTTGCGACTGTTTGCAAGACTTACTGACAAGACAGTTCATCCTCAAGTCACTATGCCATAGCAAACAGTGACTCAGAGTAATACTCTGAGTGTAACATATATCATATTTGACATCAGACATGTTCTTTGAGATGACTCATTTGGTCACCACCACCGCAAACCAGAAGGTGAATTCAACTGAATTCCCCTTGGCTATAGAAATACAAAATATATTTGACGTGGTTTCTATCTATTTCCCTGACACTTCATGTGTGTTTACAAGTCCCGATCGTCTTCGTGGAACAGCTGTTTTTTCACCACTCAAGTGAAGCAGCTGCGTTGTTGCCGCGTTTGCGTGGCAGCGGCGGCGCCAGGTCCAAAAAGGCCTTTGCCGCCACCAAGGAGGGGCGACTGGAGACACCGATGTGAAGCCCGTCGAGTGTGGGAAACTGTTTTTATTTTGTCAAGACAAAGGGACTCAAGAATAGAAAAGTCCTCATCAGGCAGTTCGTTCTACCAGACCTCAGTCAGAGTTGGAATTTGGACGCAAGGTTTGTGAGTGCTCTGGAGAGAAGCTTCAACTGAACATGGTTCACAATGGTTCGACTCTCCATATGGAGCCTCCAGGTTCGGCCGGTGCGGTTTCGTAGGTCCGGTCCGGTGCGGTGACCTTCGGTCACCACCGGTCAGGCCTCAGGCAAGGACACGGTGGTTCACCAGCGCAAGGTTCACACCGGAGCGCAATGGAGCGAATCGAGTGTTTTTGATGTTTGGGCCGCCAAGTTCGTGGGCATTCAGATCACTGGGTGAGTGGAGGAAAAGGAACTGACCGAAAGGAGGATGAAGAGGAAGAGAACGTCATTTTCTGGTGGTGAGCGGACAAAATGACTTAAGAAGAAGAAGAAAACGAATAAAGTCCTGGAGCCAACTTCGATCAAGAAGGAACGGAAAAGCTGTGATTTTTGGGAGCCGGCTTCGGCCTGGACAAAAGTGCATTTTGGCCGGGTCGGTCTTTGCGGTCCGCCTTACAGTCTCAAGCCGTATACTGCCGCCTTTGTGGCCTTGGCCGACTGGCTGCCAGCAACTGGCCGTAGCCTGGCACCTGGCTGGGAAGGCCGGCTTCTAAGAAGCCATGGCAAGCTCTTGTCAACTGGTTGCTGCCATCTGAACACATGCTTCCCAAATTGCTAAGTCCAGACACATCAACCAGTTTTTTGGGATTCTTTTGGTTGGTCGGCCACAGAAAGACATCAGTTGGTTCACTGATTTTGATGGAGTGTGTAGTCCCAATTTGCGGATCAACCAAAAGAACAAGAAAACTGAGAGAAGTGGTGAACCCGACGCGGGAGAATAGCAAGATCCTTGTGGAGTGGTAAAGAAAGACCCCCACCCAGTAGATCCTTTTTTTTGGAACACCATCCTGCTTGAACACCTTATATAACCTACCTTTCTTGACCACCCTGCTGGGCTGGGCCAAATTGGCTTAGGTCTTAGGTAGGGCTGGGTGAGGTATGGTAAGGTAGGGTAGTTATGATGTATAGTATAGTAGGATGTAGTAGGATGTATAGGGTGCTATACCTAAACCATCCGGTGATGTGGAATTTCTGGCGTTTGCTGAAACTCAACAAAAAAATGTCGCCGCAACATATTTTTGTCGTCTCAAAAAAAAAACTGTCGTTTCAGAATCCTGTCCCCCCCCCAAGTGGTTTTCTGCACCTGCCTGGCTGTCATAGATCCGGAAACAATCAGCAGCGCGAGAAACAAACGGATTATGCATGGTACCTGTTTCAACTACAAGACTGATTAACTTTAGAACTTTAGTATTTGGGTAACATACTCTCATTGAAACCTATCTTCGCGCAGCTGCTTTGCTGCCGGGTTTGGGTTTTGGCCGCTTTGCGGCTTTGCCCTTAGTGATATCGGGTCCATATTTCAACCACCGGCGGTGCAACAGATCACCTTTCAAAAAGATTGATTGAATGACACGTACACACAGTGTTCTTGTGTCACATCGACGAGATAAGCGACAGGCTCTGCCTATCCAGTCCTCGTTTTGCTCACATCCAAAAACAATCGGGTTTATGGTAAATGGCACGCTGCCATTTTCCAAGAACTTTAGCTGCTCAAGCTCTGTGTGCTTTAGCAAGTGCAGTTTGGGTTTGAGAGCCCACCCTGGGAACTTCAGGGTGCCAAAAGCTTCATGGGCTAGAGTGCTATAGCCACGGATGAACGCAGCTACATCCGCCCATAGGGCCATCCCACAGCGGGGACTAAGCCAAATTCCATGATCATACATCCGACAAAAAAAATCACACGCAGCTTTCCCAGTAAGGTGAATTAGATCTAGCACTCCAACATGGTCTTGACTGATCAAACTGTTTTTGCAGCCGATCGTCAATACAATCACCCACTTGCAGAGCAACATCGTGTCGCTGCCCTTTGAAGATGTCCAACCAAAAGAGGACAGATTTGGATAGTTGAAAAAACGTTTGTTGAAGCTGCGGACTGCTTGGTTGTGTTGTGTTGCTTTGCACCACAAATCAAAATGGTTGTAGGCCCTCTCAAGTTTCTCATCAACATCACCAGTTGTGCCAAAGTAACCCCAAGCAAGAAGCAATAGGATCGAGGAAGCGCAGTAGTCTCGGTAAATACCTACCTTACACAGGTGAAACACATCCCGCTTCAATTGGCGCTCTGGGGCTGCCATGTCGTGCGGTATTGAAGCCAGTGGGGGGTGCTGAAGCCCAAGGACGGGTTTGATGACAGGTATCCTGCCAACACGGATCGTCCGTCCCAACATCCTCCCAGCTCAGCTGGTCTGATCCAGCCTCGCATTCATGGCACATCAATAGATTCTGGACACGTCCAAGGTGCTCAAAAGAGCGGGTCATGTCTGCAGCCCGGGCAAACCATTTCAGGTCTCCCTTGCCTCCGATACATGCAAAGAACACTGTCCCCTGACCGGAGACTTCCACTCCTTCAAAGAAACCTTGCCGGAAATCCTGGCTAACTATCTTCATGCATTCCTGAAGAAGTGGTCTGTAGGTCTTGTACATTGTCCCTGGCAAAATATAAATAGGCCAATGTTGTAGCATGCTATGCCCCTTCATGTTCGTAGCTTGCAGAGCCACGAAGCTCTCTAAGCGAGCAGTTGGCTCTGAGGATGAGCGTGCTGGAAACTTGGATTCAACTCCCTGAGAAACGTGGCAATTGGAGCAGTACTTGTGTCCTTGGTTCATGTTCCAGCTGGTGTAGATCCCTATGCAACTTTCAAAGCTGATGCAAAGTGTGTTTCCTCTCCTCTTCCCCCCTTCCCTCATCACCATGGTAGCAGACAGGGATCACTGCGTGTAGATGACCCCCATGTTCACTGTATACAGGGTGGTTGGGGTGAACAGATCTGTAAAGCTCCCAGAATGCTTGAAGGTGACGAGAACGCTCGGGTCGATCGAGAATTCCTCCAACCACCACAGATGGACAATTGTTCAACAAATAGTGCATTGTGTCCAATGGGCTTGCGTAATCAATGTCCAAAATTTCATCACCCTGCCCTGTAGCAAAGTGCATCGTTCTAAGTGGAACTTTCCATCCATAACCGCATCTATTGAATGCTCGCCAAGCAAAGCGGGAGGCATTCGACTTTGATGGCTCTGGCACTCCAGCAGCAGCGAAGGACACTGACTGGATCACTTTTGCTGGGACCTCAGCGCAGCTATGCCGAGCCAGACGGTGCAGGTACACTAGAGTTTCAAGGTAGAGTTCTACATCACTAGCTAGCGAAACATTGGGGCCGGGCCCCATCAGCCACTGCTTCCGCATAGTGGGGCGTCACCACTTTCTCAGAGGATTGGGCTTTTTCTGGAGGCCCTGGCGTTCGGGTGGGATCAATCTACAAAAATAGAAATCTATTGAGCAAAGGGTGCAGATTGTCAGCACGTTGGTTAATTTTTTCCCCATCCATCCAATGTAGCAGGATAACTTGCTCTGAAGAAAGCAAGCGCTATGAATTTCAGCATCTTGTTCAGATGCGAAACCAAAACCCGAGCCACCAAAGCATCAATCAACTGAGTCCAGAGTGGCACAAAAAACACGTAAAAGGATTTATCTATAGTTCGATGACCTTCAGGACCTCAAGTGTTGGAAGCACAACTATTGTAAGTAAAGGGCTTGCCTGGGCTAGTCGATGCCAGCTTCGCTGACCGCTATCAACCCCCCTTTGCAAGTTCTGCAAGTGGGCAACAGCAAATGAAACTTATTTCTTGGCTTTAGATTTAGGTGCCCTTTTGGGACTAGCTTTTGCCGCTCCTTTGGGCGCGGGCGCACCTTTAGCCTTCGCCTTCCCAATCTTCCTACGCTGCCGCTCAGATGCGGTCCCGGACCCTTTCGCGGCTTTGACTTTGGGCAGGAGCGGCCTGCGAGCTGATGGTTGGAAGGGCAACGAAGGTTGAACGCCACAGTAAACACAATGACTTAGAAAATGGTGCTTTCTGAATTAAAATTCAACTGCCGGCCTGACGCGACCTTCCAGACTGAGTGCTTCGAGGGCCCTTAGAACAAATCAGTGGACCCCGAACTTAGGGACCAGGAATGTTGCAAGAATGCACAGCCTAAGTTGTGGTCAGTCTTTTGGCTTCCTGAAGGGCTTCGCTCATTTCATTCTCTGACCTGGGTCTCATCAGTTCAGAAGCCACCGTATTTCTAGGCATCTAACACGTTTCAATGAGCACTAGGGGTCCAACTTTTTGCTGAAACCATCAACAATACCATTAGTGTACTGGCCATCGATTTTGGCGCTGCATGTTTGCAACTGAGAGATGTTGCCCTGTAGCTTTGCGATCAACCTGTTGGGAAACAACTTGGGTGAAGCGCAGTGAGCAAACAACTCAAAGCCAACACTTCAGGCATTCCAGTGGAAGAGAAACCGTGTGGCCTGGTTTCCAGATCCGATGGAGATTCCAAAGCCAAGAACTTACCCAAGCTATCCTGGAGGCCCTTCTCACGCTTGCTGAGACAAGCCCTTGGACCAAGACGGGTTGGTTGGTCGACTGCAAACATGCGAACATGAGTGAGCTAATACAGAAACAGAAGGAACTGGTTGTCTAATTTGGCATAATTTGGCTAAGTCTCATGGTTTTCATAGCGAAAGAAGATGGCAAACAATCAGGTGACATCTCAGGCAGCCCTGCCCTTTTCCGTTCTTTGGAGGCAAGGGCTTCGCCGTCTAGTTCATTGGCCGGATCTAGCTCATCCGGAAAGTCATCCAAGTCTAACTCATCCGCAGAAGCTGGTTCATCATGTCCATCACATGGGTTTGGGGGGCGAGCCACTCTAGGCCTGCTAGGTCCAGGTTCACCTCGGAGGGGCTAAACCGCGACACCAAATCATGTTGACTGGAAACCCCC